GTATTCGATCTTAAACGAATTATGCAAGAGGCACATAAAATCGCTCGAGATAACTTAATAAAGAAAAAAGAGGCAAACAAAAATTATTACGATAGGACCCTAAATGTCATTGATTTACATGTAGGTGACAAAGTTCTTATCAAGGAGCACAACAAGAAAAATGCACTTAGCTTAAATTGGCAAGGACCTTTTGAGGTACTCTTAGTACATGACAATGAAAATATTACAATTAAAAAAGGAAATCGCGAGTATCGTATACATAAAAATAACGTAAAACGTTATTACGACGATGACGATACCGAATAAATTATTACAAAATTCATTTTTCTTATCTACTTATTATAATTTTTCTTTTCTACCAAATTCTTTTATTATTATTTTAGGGACAAACGAAGAAACTTTATGACCACGTTCCGTACAACGTTAATAGTACAACAGCACTGCCACACGGCTTTATATCCCGACGAAATTCCGCGCTGTATGCTTAACCATATAGACACGGCGAATAAAAATTTACTTCAACCGTATACGCCAGTGGAGCTGTTGGAACTCACTCGTACAATTAATCACTTCTCGCACGACTTAACAAAAACATTAAGACCTCTACGCAAACCACTTTGTTCATATCTAAGGGAATTTTTGGAAACAACTGAACACCCAGTAGATATACTTGATTATATGCGACTTTAAATTTAAATTTAAAAAAAAAAAAAAACATGTACTTTATTAGCATTTCAATAGCCATTTTCTTTTATAACTATGATAACTATTTAATTCTATTCGATTTTTCTATTAACTTTTCTTCGAATGAATACGTATTTTATAATAACGTCTTTATTGTGACATATGTAGATATATATATATCTATCGTATATATATGATGTCCAATACATATGTATATATATGTTTTGTTTTTAGTGAACCACCCGAGTTCGCGGTCGTAGATTTTGAATTCACACAATTAGGAAAAGAAAATTTAATCTTAATATCTGGCGCCGTATGTGGTCATTATGAACCATTAGTTACAAAATTCGAAGGACGCGCACTCAAACTCAGAACCAATGAACCAGTAACTACCAGAGAATGGAAAGCTATGGTACACCACCTTGTGAACATCTTTAAGGGAAAACCTAAAAAGCTATTCCCTATACTTGCGCAAATTTACGACTCCGACCATACTTCGTGTCCGAACTTAACTCGTACCACGATACAAACAATACTTAACAAGAATAACTTTATAATTCTGTGGGAAGGTTCCACTGACATTAAAATTCTGAACGCTCTCCACATACGTTGTCAAGCATTGACAATGCGAGGGTGGGACACAAATAACAATGGAAACTTCAATTTACAACTAACGGATATGCTTACGAAGCAATCCATCTGTTCCATTAAAATAGGAACGTTTGAAAAACAAGGACGCGCTTTAAAACTAAGCGAAGCTCATGAACTCTTATGTAAAAATACCCACGGATTTTCCGAAGCTCACGATCCTAGAACAGACGTTCTATGGACCCGTTGTTTATTCCGTAAATTACAATTAGAATTTCACGATTTAATCAAAAACACAATCGGATGTTAAAGTACAAATTTATTATTATTATATTATTATTATTACTTATAAAAGTAAACATTATATAGGGTGACGGAATATATTATTTTATTATTTTACAATTATAGTTTTTTTTTTATAGCAATTATGCATTTTTTCTATTTGGGATTTGGGAATAAGATTATTCATATTATTATTTTAATTTGCACTTATATATATAGAAATAGGTTAATTTTAAATCTAATACATTTAACATAAAATTACCTTGACTAATAAGCTGAAACGGTTTTCAGACTTATACTACTAACTATACCATTCACGTCGGGACGATTTCGATACACCGACGAACAATTAACACAACATTCCGGTCTATACTACGAAAATCGGGGACCATTGAAACTTATCACATCTCAATGGGACTTAACCGCGTATATTAATTTTGCTAAATACAAAGAAAGATTTATTTATATTGACGATGTTATGAACAAAACCGAATTAATATGCGAAAGTATCAAAAATAATGTTGATACCAATTGTAACAATTTAATGCAAACAGCTAGTAGCATAGTAAACGATTTACGTAAAAAGAAGGAACTAGTATTAGACTCTATAGAACATACAGTATCTAAAAGAAGTACATTAGGCATGTTAATAAAAGCAGCCAGATTAATATACGGAATATGTAATCTGGAATGCATTAGAAAATTTAATTTTAATATAGAACAAACGCATAACGCACCGCAAACTAAATTAGTTAAAGAACAAATAAAAATAGTTAAGTTACAAAACAAATTTGATGAACACGAAAACTACAATATGACCTTTTTAATAAACGAAAATAGTAACGTATCTAGGGACCAACAAACAAAAAATTATGTAACAAAACACTTTCTAATTATAAATTTATTATTAATGAAGCATCTAGTAGAAACCAATACTTTATTAGAAATAATACAACAAGCGAAGTTAGGGATTATCCATACCAGCTTAATATCACCACAGGACCTTCTAGAGCACATAAAAGACATTAAAGTATCGTTACCTGGGGGCACCGACTTACCCACCGATCTAGATATACAAAATATCTATGAATTGGTAAAGCTCTCAGACCTAGCTATATATTATGTTAATGACAACCTAGTTTTTATATTAACGTTACCATTAATCTATCAAAATGATTTTATTCTATATAACTTAATACCTGTACCAGTTTGTACTGGGAATGATTGTCTCTATGTTAAACCTAGTAATAAGTATCTAGCTATAAGTAAAACTAAAGAACACTATGCCATGTATGATGAATTTTACTATACACATTGTAAGCACGCTAGAGACTTCCTTTTATGTCCTGAAGGTAATCCTTTATACCCGCGTACAAGTAGACCAGCATGCGAAGTTCAACTTTTGCAAGATCCAATAAAAGTTCCATCAACCTGTGAAGTAATGCACGTCCAAATCGGAACATCCATATTCCACAAGAAACGATTCAAGAACGAGTGGATATACGTAACTAATTATGATGTAGTAATTATTACATGCGACGAAGACAAGGAATCCACAAGTCACACACTAAGGGGAGTAGGCATTTTGCGACTCAACGAAACTTGCAAAGGATACGCCGCAAGAGACGTACTTATACCAGGAAAAGTAGACTACAAATCTGAATATATGGATTTCAACCCGAAGTCAACTATAGAACGTATCAAAGATATGCCGTACACCGACAACAATAATTTGATGGAAGACTACCACGTAAAAACAAATAACATGGATGACCTACATACCGTGTCAGGTTCAAAGAAACAACTTGAAACACAACGCAAGGTTGATCACAAGATAAACGAACTAAAGAATACACAGCAAGTAAACGACTACGTACTTTACGTAATCACAAGTATCACTTTTATGGCAATTATCATTATATGTTTATCCAAATACAATAACTTTAAATGTTACGAAAAAATAAACACGGAAGAGGAACCAAACCAAGATGAAGAAAATGAAAGCTTAGCTACAGCACCTAGAGCAGTCGACATGGTCGAATATCCTCTTACGCCTAGGAATAGCCCAATAAGCTATCCAAATACAAGACAGCTTAACTTCAATTAAAACTTTTTCGGAAGTCAGGGACTTCCAGCTTCGAGGGGAGGAGTGTAGTAAACCGACAGAGTCGCTTTCCTATAATTATACATCATAAGGACTTTGCACTATATGATATATTGATCAACGACTATACCACGCCCTGAGGATTTATTACATATTTAAAAATCGCATAACGATTTCTAATAATACATATTGCCAAATAAACCAGTTCACAACTCAAGGTTTATTCGACAACTTTTAACATTTACGCCGGTACCTTGCATACCGCCGGTATTCCTTTGATCCACCTCCGAGTCTCTACCGTGTACCTAATAACCTAGGGAGACTTTGTATATATACGAGTCTCCGTCTGTATCTAAATTAGAATTAGCTCAGTGCTAGTACGACGTACATACTTGTAAGTACTTAGTATTAACCACTAATCTCTCGGGCAGACGCTTATTGCTCTGTCCTCAAATTTCTATATTCAAATGTAATACCATTATATTATTATTAACTTTAAAATAAATTACTTAAATTATAACGTTGTAACTTGTAACTCTGCAACCTTTTCTCCTACTCAATCATCAACGTCGACAAACTCAAAATATAAGCGTTAGTGAGGGATCACTACACCACGGTTCACACATAAAACTTTGAACCGGTGTCTGGGTTTTATTACAGTGTACTATTTATACAGTGTGATCACGATTTAAGGTACCACTAAATATCTCAGGTGCATGACCTTGTATTGAAATGGCGTTTTCGGGAAGTGATAGGGAGTACCTAAATACATATTTTTGGATAAATTTTAAATTTTTAACATGTTTGGTGTGCGCATGCGCAATACAACTTACATTTTTTTAAATGGAAACACCATTTTTTTTTTACACATTCGGATAGATTATTTTTTTTGAGCATTTTTTGTATCAACAGTTTTTTTCTATTTTCAAAACTGACCAAGTTAGAGTAAGTCAAAGTTTGGATTTATGCATAATTTCTTGTTTAACGAAATTTTCACTTATAACTACTGGAAATAATAAAATAAATGTTAAATTTACCTTATCTGTTTACAAATAATAATTTAATAATACTGTTGGTCAATATCTAGAGTATGTGATAATATTTGTTTATTAAACTCCTATAATACGATTACAATTTTAACTATTTTTATAGTGGAATTTTGTTTTATTTTACAATAGCTCAAATAACGATAAGATAATCAGATAATGTAACTATTAAGGTATTTAGTTTGATGAAAAATATCATTTTACTTTTATTCTGTAACTAGACTTGTACCAAAGTGTGTACGTTATCCGTGTATGTCTGGTTATTAAGTACTCCTGTAAATTATAAGTTTTTAAATATGAATAACGCTGAAAAAGTTGAGTTGGTTTTAATTTATGGTGAATGTCAGCGTAATTTACGCTTATCAGCTATGACATATGCCGAACGATACCCAGAAAGATACCACCCACCTCACAATTATGTTTTAAGACTTTTACAAGGGTTAAGTCAAGAAGGAAGATTTCCTGATAGACAAATCAACCAACAAAGGCGTAGAGCAAATTTGTTTGATGAAGACATAGAATTACAGGTACTAGCATACATACGAGCTAACCCACGATCGTCAATTAGGCATGTTGCTTTCGAAATTGGAATTTCATATGGTTATGTACAAAAAATTTTAAAAAAACATAAAATGCACCCGTATAAAATTGATTTAGTTCAACATTTGCGTGCAGGAGATTCTACTCGTAGGTTAGAATTTATAGCTTGGTTCAATATTCAATTTCATAATAACCCTCTAATTGTCAATCACATTCTTTGGAGTGATGAATCAAAATTTACCAATAATGGCATTATGAATAAGCAAAATCATCGATACTGGGATGATACAAACCCACACTGGTCACGTGAAACTAATTTTCAAACGGTCTGGGGAATTAATGTATGGTGTGGGTTAGTTGGTGGAAAGCTTATAGGACCGTACTTTTATGATGGGACACTTAATGGCAGACGATATTTAAATTTTTTAACCAACGAACTGCCAAGAATGTTGGAAGATGTTTCATTGGACACACGAGAACATATGTTTTTTCAACAAGATGGAGCACCAGCCCATAATGCAATTATTGTTAGACAAAAATTAAATGAAATGTTTCCGAACCGCTGGATTGGTACTTATGGCGTCGTTCCTTGGCCGGCACGGTCTCCAGATTTAACGCCATTGGATTTTTTTTATGGGGACACTTGAAGACTGTGGTTTACGCAGATCTACCTGTTAATCTTCAAGACTTAAAAAATAAAATACAGGCAGCGTGTGAAATTTTAAGAGAAGAGCAAATCAAGGCGGCAACTACGACTGAATTTTTGAGACGACTTGAATCATGTTTAGAACATTATGGTGGAAATTTTGAACAATTTATAAGATAAATTTATTTACTTATTGTTATTATTATTGTTAATAATTTTTTATTATAGGTTTTTAATTATTACAGTTAACAGAAAAAAAAATATTGTACATTAAAAATAATATTTAATTAGGTACTTCAAATTTATTTTATTATTTCTTAATAATTACATTATCTGATTATCTTATCGTTATTAAAACTATTGAAAAATAAAATAGAATTCCACTATAATAATAGTTAAAATTGGAATTGTATGAAAGCAGTCAACGAAACAAAAATTATCACATACTAAAGATTATATCTATCTGGATGACATACGATATTATTAAATTATTATTTGTAAACAGATAAGGTAAATTTAACATTTATTTTATTATTTCCAGTAGTTATAAGTGAAAATTTCGTTAAACACGAATTATGCATAAATCCAAACTTTGACTTACTCTAACTTGGTCAGTTTTGAAAATAGAAAACAACTGTTGATACAAAAAATGCTCAAAAAAAATAATCTATCCGAATGTGTAAAAAAAAAATGGTGTTTCCATTTAAAAAAATGTAAGTTGTATTGCGCATGCGCACACCAAACATGTTAAAAATTTAAAATTTATCCAAAAATATGTATTTAGGTACTCCCTATCACTTCCCGAAAACGCCATTTCAATACAAGGTCATGCACCTGAGATATTTAGTGGTACCTTAAATCGTGATCACACTGTATAATAACGCGTGTTGGTCAATTGAACCGACGGTGATCTGCAGTGTAATAATTTCTGATTAAGTTAAAAATATATATATATATTAATATATTGATTTTGGTGGTTGGGAAATTTAACTGTGAACTTCCTATGCACTTTATAAATTCTAATATAATAAAAGTATAAACAATAAAAAGAATGGTTTAAATGAACTGATTATGAACTGGAGAAATTATTATTTATAGTTAAAAATAGATTTTTCTTGGTTGGGGAATTAAACCGTGAACTCCCCAAACACTTATGCACCAACGAACTGACTATGAACCATAATTTTATTTTAACCGTTCAAATGCTTAACATTATTTAAACGGTTAAACTGATATTACACCAATCTTGTGTTTGGCGAACCAAATGAACCGATAAACCGACCTACAACCCATATATTGCTACTCGGGTAGAATATCAAAACTATCGTCCATACTACTTAGCATTAGGACTAGTTCATCAAAGTTACAGTTTATACTACGAATATTCATTGAAAAATACTAATATTATATTTATTTTTATCTACAGAGAAAGACACTAAGTCATCAATATATTTTGTTTTCACATTATTTAAACGGTTAATTTAATTTAATACTAAGTTATCAATATTCATATAGAATAAGAGAAAATAAATACAAATAGACAATTACTTACAAATAGTATTTTATTAGTTATTAAAAAAAATGACAACGTTTATCCTGAGGATTCTAAGTCGTGAAGTTTCAAATGAGCCAACTTGTTTTCCACATCATATCCAGATATGTCTTTAATAGATTGTATTTTAATCGGAACATCTCCATCAGTCTTCCTTAAATACACTCCCTTCGAATTTGCCCAAACATATTTCCAATTGTATTCTTTCGACAGTTGCTTTGTTAACCAAAATATTTTTCTAAACATGGGTGAAAGTTCATGATTGACATAGACAATTTTGTCAGGAAAAGAGTTGTGTATTTGATTAGATTTTAAAGGTTGTTTACTTGTTTAGAAATAGCAAGTGAGTTGACTCCATTTAGAAATGATTCTTTTATTGTTTTGCTATTAAATTTTACTATTATTTTACCACCAGATTTATCAACTTTTTTTATACGATAATTTGAGACTATATCATTCTTATGTAAATTGACTTTGATTATATCAGCAGTGACTTTAATAATTTCATCGATGTTTTCATTTTTAGTATAAGGAATACCACTAATTGTTATACTGTTGGCTAATAATTCTTGCTCCGATTTACTCTTGTTAATTTTAAGTACATTTATTTCTTTTTGTAAATAAGCAAATTATAAATCTAATTCATTGACCTTATCTTCAAGTAATTTAGTTTTAGAAAATAACAGATCCATTTTTTCCGCATAATCGTCTAATTTTTCAGAGCAAAAATGAATAGATTTTTCTATTTCAGTATTACTTTTTGAAACACTTTTGAATTTCTTCATCAAAGTTGAAATATCTTCACAAATTAACTTTAGATTAGAATCTTTTCATTCTAAATTTTTAATTAAATCGTAAACATTTTTAATACCGTATATACTTTATAATTGTATTAAATCTGATAGACGTTTAACCACTAAGCCCCTAGCAATTTTCCATTCCTTATACAACTCTACGTTACTGCAGTTATCACGTTTTAAAATGCAGCAACCTCTATCTAAATCAAAATATAGTTCCCTAAGTTTTTCAATATCGATTTCCATCAGATTTGGCATTTTAGGTTTGGATCGAATATTAAGTCTTACAGAAATGATAGGTCTGTGTATTCTAAAAAAAAAAATATAATGTTATACAGCTTATGCTGTATAGTTAATTTTTTGAATATGAATTTTGAAATAATAATAAAAATTAATTAATGTTTTGTTATATTATTTGCGTTTTTTTTATTTCATTATCTATATTTAATTTACATGGTATTAATTTTTTTTTTTACATATTCACTTTTATTCAATTAAAAAATAAAAGACATGTACTAGTAGTATAGGGGTCACTATGGTACACTTTCATTTTAAATGCAATATTTCCTAAAATATTTTTTCATAGAAATTGAAATGCAATATTCCTTTAATTATTTTGCAAATCGTGAAACGCAATAATTATTAAAATATTTTTCAAAAAATCTGAAATGCAAAAATACTAAAAATAATTTTCATAGAAATTGAAATGCAAAAAATACTAAAAATATTTTCCTATGGGGGGACTTCGGCACACGTGACATTTAAATGCAATAATTACTTAAAACATTTTTCAAAAATCTGAAATGCACCAAAACATTTTTTAATAGAATTGTTCTATCAAAAATAAAAATCGAAATAACATATTTAATTGCAAAATGTATTAAAAATTAATTTAAAAAATTAATTTAAAAATTAAAAATATAATAAATAATAAAATAATGGCAAATATAAATTCTATAAGCATATTAGAAAATATGAAAGTCTCTGAGCTTAAGTTAATAGCAAAAGAGGCTAAACTTAAGGGTTATAGTACCCTTAAAAAAAATGATCTTATATCAAGAATTAGGAGAGGTCATACAATTTGCGATTTAACAACTTCTGAGCTTAAGTCAATAGCTAGAAGTTTTGATATAAAACAAATTTACAAACTTAATAAAGAATGTTTAATAAAAAAAATTAAATTAACAAGAAAGCAACAACCTTTTCGTAAATTTCAAGAAGATATATTCAAGGATGAAGTTTTTAATAGTTCATTAAACAATAATCCATTTCAGAAGTTAGAAAAAACAATTTTCACTGAAGAAAATTATTTTAATAGTTCATTAGAAAAAACATCAGATGTTTATGATTTGATAGATATAATTCAAATGAATAAACAAATCCAAATGAAATTTAAAATACATGAAGCTGAATATAAAATTCGGTTTAGAGAAGCTTTAATAAAAGATCTAAAACTATGTAATGCAAAATACAAAATTGATTATGTACATAAAGCTCTAGATTCCATGTTAAAACTTGTCCAAAAAAATTCAAGTTATGAAAAAGGTGATCAAATAAATATTATAGTGATGAATCCAAATTTAAAAAATACTATATCTACTGGTATGAAATCTGATAATTTTTTAACAAACTTAAAATCAATTATTGTTAACATATTAACTTCAGCTGAAACAATTGATATAACAGAAACTACTTTTAAAGTTCAATTAGTGAAAATACCAAGAGGTTCAAGGAGAACTAAAATAATTAATTTATCAGAAAATATAAAAACAAAAAAAAGTATTATTGAGATTAATAACGATGATAATTTATGTTGTCCGAGAGCTATTGTTGTTGCATTATCTACTGAAACAAACAATATTTTAGGTCATGAATTAGACCCCAATAAAATTAAACAATTGAAGATAGGTAGAAAAATTCAAAAAGATTTAGCTTTAGAATTATGTAATATGTTACCAGAATATAACGAAGAAGGATTTACATTGAATGATATTAAGAATGTGGAACTTGCACTAGATATTCAAATAAATGTTATTTGTGCTGAACATTTAAATACTTTAATTTATAAGGGTGAGGATAAAGAAACTAAAATTTATTTGTATAAAAATGGTAATCATTTTGATGTTATTAAATCCGCTAAAGCTTTCTACGGATCGTGTTATTATTGTAATAAGTGCGATAAACCATATCAAAATAAAGATAAACATAAATGTGGTAAAAATAAAAATAAAAATAAAAATATATGTAAATTGTGTACATATTATGGTGAGAGATTTGAACATTCAATTAGTACAAAAAATAAAATATATTGTGAAAAATGTAATAGATATTGTTATAATCAAGAATGTTTAGATAATCACGAATATGTATGTGCCTATGTATATAAATGTATTGATTGTAATAGAATATTGTTTAGAAATAGGGAACATAATTGTGGTTATAGTAAATGTAGAAATTGTCTAGAAGAAGTGAAAATAAATGAACATCAATGTTATATGCAAAGTAGATTAGCAAAAGGAGGTAAATGCTTAGTAGGATGTACAAAATGTGGAGGTACAAATAAACCATATCAATGTTCTTATACAGAAAAATATTTGTTTTTTGATTATGAAGCTCAACAAGAAACAGGAACTCATATCGCAAATAAAATAA